GTGTGTGTGTGTGTGTGTGTATGTGTATGTGTGTGTGAGTTTACATATATGGTGTGTATATATACAATGTTGTGGCTGGCTCATGGCGGACGAATCACGACACTTCCATGAAAAAATAATCGTACCATCCTGGATACCAACCGCGGTTACGAAGCAGGTCATACTGCCGTGGAATTTCTTCATGGCTTTAGAGTTGTTAATTTTCTTTGTTTTGGCTTAAATGGAAGTATTAGTATATTTACAGCCGAGAAGGCACAATTATTTCGTTACTTTAACAATACAGCTCTTTTAATGAATTTGAACGCTGCTCTTCGTTTACTCAACTAGAAGTCAGTGTTTTGCTCAACCAAGATGGTTCGATTTACAAATATCGACTTCGTATGCATTTGACCTTACTGTCATGAAATCTCGATTAAGTTTCATGTTGTACTAACCTGATACGAAGTAAACTACCATGAAAATAGCTCTCCTGTGAAAATCCATGTCCACAGACACACGTTTCCTGAACGCTAACACCGTTAAATATTTAACGATCCAGTTAATTGCACAAGTTTTGGGAGTGCGTTTGATAGCCCAATCTCTCTGAAATTGAATATCTTGGAGATAATCAACCAGAAATCGTATTTAAACAAAAGACAAGCCGACTCGAGGATTTTGAAAAGATAACGTTTTGTTGACCTTTATTGCAGAGCTCTACGACGACCGGCTACGACGGTTTATAATGGCGTTCTAGCAGTGTCTGGTCCATAATCACCTTTTAGTGTATTAAGTAATTAATACTCTTGTTAATAGAGGTGTTTAAATGTATAACAGCGACTTACTGATTGACGCAAGATAAGGAGCTTAAATTTCAAAATGAAGGAGTCAGCGCTATCAACTGAAAGAAACAGAATTTGAGTTTTCAGAAACACAATCTCAACACTAAGAACAACCACAGTAACAATTTTTTTGTCGTAAATTTATGAGTGGGTGGAATCAGTTTTGCAACTCGTGGCGGTTTTAGGGAAGAAGTCTCGTCACTTCAGTAATGTGTACGTGAAAGTAAAGTGCAGGAAATAGAAATAGCAAGCTATTGTTCCTTGGCTGTCAAAAGTGTCTGGAATGTATTGATAAATTAGGGCCAAAATACTGTAAAAGTTAAAAAAAAAGGTCGCAGTTACTAACGAGTCACATTAATTTTGAAATGACATTCAAAACAAAATATGTCAAAGCGTCAATTTACTACCCCGGGGTAAGAGAGTTGTGCTTGTCGATACTGCTGTGTAGTTTCTTCAGAGACATATATTAACCTTGCTGGTAACTTTTCTGTTTTTTTTGCTGCAATAGCCCGGGGCCCTAGTTCCATTGAAGTTGGGATTAACTGATATTTGTTTTGGTATTTCGGCACTTTTCCATTAGTGATCACGAACCCGTCGTTGAAAAAAGTACGTGAAAGTCAGGAATACTTTGAAAACCAAGGCGACAAGGATGGTCTGACTGATCATGAAGAAAGCCCGTTAGCTGGTCAGGGACTTTTCAAGTTGTGTATGTTCGAAAGCAGAACATTCAGCAATCAGACAAAAATACATTTATTTTTCTTTGGTTGATTGATATGAAAAGAATTAATGATCATGTGTATTTATAGTTGCAATTTTACACGCCCTGCCTATTAAGGCATAGTTAGTAGGCGGACAAAGTAAGGTAATCTGGGTGTTATTCCACATTTGTTCTGTTTTATAGTATTATCATTGTTTCGGTTTATTATCACGGCTTTTTTGTTTTGGTTGATTTGCTTTGACGGGACACGCTCTGACTTAAGTTGCACAGCAGTTTCGTGATACTGAAACTAATAGCGCTCTAAAGGTATTGTTCAAGTTCTCCTTGAACAAATGTCTGACGCTGGTATAATGGGGTAGCTACGTGAAGCGAAACATATCGCTTTTAAATAGCTCTCCACTTTAGCACGGAGTAAAAAGTGATTAATATCAGCAAACAAATACACAATATAGACTCGAGTCTGATGATTCACAGTTATTAGTAGTGTTCATTTTCGAGGGTAATTAGTAACTTTGGCGTCTGAAAGATGAACGTTTTTCCGGCCGGCGGTAGACCGTGAACTGGCTATTGCCATTTTGTGTTGGTGTGTGTGACAGTTTCTGAGTGCAACCTGCACTTTTTTTGTTTCAGTATAAAAGCTAGTGTCTTCGAAGGTGAAGTTTTTTGTTATTCGAAATCTTCAGTTATCGTTAGGTGAACAGAAAAAATCGGCCCCGTTTTATTTTTACGACTTTGTGGGACAAATCAGATCGGACGGAAACGAATAAGTGTTTCTACTGATATTCTCTATTCTCTTTTTATGATAAAATATGCAAAGAATATAAAAATATATGTTATGGCTCGGTTCCTACACGGCCATAATTCTATATTCTGTAAATTCCAAGTATAAAAGGATGACATGATATCCCAGCTTTGTTCTATTGATTTCATTGCTGGTAGATTTGAAAATAACCAACTAGGGAATTGTTAACAAAAGACGCTTTTACCAGAAGGGGGGTTTACGTAATAAGCAGCTGGAAGATATTAGTAGGAATTAGAAGATCAGTTACGCGTGAAATGATCTGTTTACCGTTCTACTGATCCTTTTGGTTGGATCGCAAAGCTGCCCAATACAAGTATACATTTCTCCCCAACTAGTCGTTAATTTGATGCGGTTTTGTCGTCGGTCAGTGTTAAATTCGAAGTTAATTATATTCCTTAATTATAAAAAATAATAACATGATAACAAAAAAGTTCGTGATCATCCAACATCTGCAAGGCACAGGCCTCTTAAGAAAGGAAGGATCAATTATGACTGCCGTGTTGCGATTCAATTCATACCTTGCGGGTTTCCAGATGGCCAGAAACTTGGGAAACCTTTTTTTAAGAGACTCTACTGAACTGAGACACAACACTTTGATTCACTAAATTCAACGACTTTCTGTTGATAGGATTTGATTTAGTTTCAGTTCATTAAATAATTGTGTATGAAAGAATGTATGGCATCTTGCGTCCTAACTTTTCTCGAGCACGGACTCCGATCAAACTCCGATCGTCTCGAGTGGGAGGAGCGCGGGCCCATTTTCCAAACAGCAACTCGTAATCAACCTTTCGTAACCACTTTGTTGATATAAGATACAACGAATGGTCCTTTTTTGTCCTCTAAAATGTCATCATTGGCATTTGTCAGTCAAAAGGATGTTACTCATTTGAACTAGCATCCGCTATTTGACGCTTGCTTTAAGTGATAAAAAATAATTCATATTGTCGGTATTTTATAACTACGAGTTTCCAGAAACTTATAAAAGCAATGCGCATTTGTGTGACAGCTTTAATCTAGGGGAAAAATCATTAGTCTTTTCTTTTCACCGACAATATGAATCATTTTTTATCACTTCAAACAGACGTCGAATAGCGGATGCGTTTCTTATTTAGCTAAAAAGGTTTTTACTAGTTCAGATAAGTAACTTCGTATTTCTTTGACTTGGACTATTTCTAGATCTGATGATTGTGTATCACTAAGGTCCCGTCTACACGAGCAATTTTTAGATGGCAACTGTATGTGGCAATTTTTATTTGCCCGTGTAGATAAGCCCCATCTACACGAGCAATTTTTATATGGCCACTGTATGTGGCAATTTTTATTTGCCCGTGTAGATGGCTCGACAAATATTTGTTGTTAATTTGCGTCAGTAATAATTTCGCACAGCGGAGATGCTCATGGAAAGCAAAAAAGCAAGATGGCGAAAGTCAGAAGATGTGCCAGACGTGTTGCAGCTTTAGGCGCGTTTGTAGTGATGACAATGGTGCATAGAATAGAAAAGAGCAACAGAAAGCGGAGAAAATTTTGGATGAAGGCCTGGAAGAGAAGAGAGAGCGAAGAGAGACGCAAGGACTTGCGACCAACTTGGTGAAGGAATTGTATGGCAAGAATCTCTTCGTGTTCCTTGTTTTTCGTATTACGGTTCTTATATTTCTCGCTGCGACTATTCCACAAACTTTCCCTATCTCGCAACGACTCTAATAATAAGGAAACAAGCGCATCTGTCCATCTACAAGAGGTACTCGAGGAAGCCGCCATGCTGGATGCGTAAATGTTAGGGACTGGGTTCTACAAATGACGTTGAAAAAATTGTCACATTTTATGTGGCGTCTCATCTACACGGACAATTTTTTATGCGGCAATTTTTATTTGCCACATAAAAACTAACACGTCAGCTTTTCAGCAAATGCAGTTGTCACATAAAAATTGGTCATTTTTCATCATCTACACAGGCAAATAAAAATTTCCACATAAAAATTGCCATATAAAAATTGCTCGTGTAGACGGGGCTTAATTGTGGGAGAACTTATGCAGTGAAACTGAAGCGTCATAAACAGTAAATTGTCGAATTTCAGTAACTCAACTTCAAATATAGCGGCCCGTTTAGTCATTCAACAAGCTTCCTACAGGATGATTACGCACTCTCCTTCCGTTGAGAAAGAACGAATCGCTGAATCGCTTGGTAAGAAATAAAAGCAAAAATGCGAAAAAAAAAAATTCTTTAGAAAGTTCCTATGTACAAATCATAAAATGGAAAAATAAAACGCAATTATTAACTGAAAGAGGAAATTGTTGAATTAAAAGAACATCCGGTCCACATCGGATTCACAAAAAAGTAAACTTTGACCCAATACAATTGCGTTTTATTCCGAATACCTTTACATATACTAGTATGCTATAATAAATCAATTCAAATTCTGTTTTAAATTGATCCTTTACTAGTTTGCACATACAGTGTGGATATGTGCTTTATTGTTTCGAAAACTGATGTCCGCTTTCCATCTTGGATGTTACATATATCCGATTCACTAGTAACACCGACAAGGGAGCAAGATATCAACGTAAAAAATATATCCGGGAGATGGCCAACAAATAGTCTTTTACATCTTTCCGAGTCAACCTCGTTCCCAGTGTCACTCGTGTTCTTACCCGTCCCCCTTCAGAGGGCGGGACGAGAAAAGACCTAGAACCTGCATGCTCACTGAGCAGGCGGTGTGCGCACCCTGATCGCGGTGTATAGTGGTCGTAAAACAAAAATTGAGTAATTTGCATCTTGGCGCGTTGGAGTGAACTTCTTTGGTGGCAGTGAGATAGCGTGAATATATGTGGATTGTAATGGAGAATCACTGCCTGTTGCCGTTCCTTCGAAAGTTTAAAAGTTTGACGGGCGTCCGCGACTCCCGTCATACCTCAGTGACGAGTTCGTTCTTAGAGGGTAACTGACGTTATGTAGAAAGATTCGAAACTGCAATCTGCCTAAGAATCTCGACACAAATGGCAAAAGTTAAACTCACAACCAGTGGCGGGATGAATAATTTCAAAGTCAGAAATTATATTCCTAGACGCGAGTTATTTGACAGGGAATTGACCCTTGACATGCAAACGCATATTAAGTTAAAGAGGCAGAGACCAAGTAATACACGAACTTTTTCCACCAAGTGTAAATACGGGATTTGTAAAAGGAGAAGCCCCTCGCCTCCTAAGAACGAATTTGTCTCGCTCCACGTTTAGCAAAAACGTTCAGTTTCGAAATACCCTTCAAGAATGGAGGAAACCTAGATGAGGGTTTTGAGAAACGTATCTCTTGAGTTATTTCTGCCAGAGAGAAGTATACTCTAAAACAAAGAAAGTATCGCGTGCACTGAAGAAAATATTGCCTTTGTAACGCAATCTCATCCGACTTTGCCAAACCTAAAGAACATACAGATGGGAAATGACACCTCAAAACTGAACCTTATTATCACATCGCAAAGGAAAGTCATTAACAGCTACCCTAATAAGAGCTAAACTTTGAGGGTAGAAGATTTAAAAGCGCTCGCGAATGGTTGGAGACTTAAAGGCCTCCTTTCAACGGTCGACTGCCTTTTGCTTTCCGGCTTTCCGGCGTGTCGCCTCACACAAAGTAGAGGTTTTCATGGGACAAGTGACTCTTTTCGTTGCTCTAATTAAACTGTCGTTCATTCAGTGATTAAGATAGAACATTTACCACACAACACTCGCGATTACTTCATTTTCCTTCACTTAGGAAAGTGGATTTACAACGCAATTGAGTACATATAATAAATGTCCTTGCAGTAGTAACGCTATGTAACGCAACACACTAAACGCAACAATAGGCTTTTTCGCTCCACAAAAGGGTCTCAAACACTAAAATCTGCCGATTTCTGCCACTTTTACTGCCATATTGAAAATAAAGCTACCACAATGCAATGCAATCGGAGTGCGCACACCGCCTGCTCACCGAGATATAAAATCGAGATATATACTTCCCTGTGACTCACAACACCAAACTAAATGAGCCATAGATAAGTTATCGAAATTACATAAATAAAAAGTTAATTTATTGCGGCGCAATCAAAAATAACTACACAGTGCAGGTTACTGATACCGTGCGGGCTATATTCAGCCTGGAAAATTCTTTTACTTCCTTGTAACAATAGAGCCACCGCGCCGCCTTTGATTTATAAAGGCCCCTGTTAATGATGTTATCAGTGCTAATTTACAAGGTGCGTGGCATGAAAAAGTTACTTGAGGATTGTAGAATTTGTTTCAAATGGATGAGCGGTCCGTGACCTGTTCCAGAAGATTGGAAAGTGACTGTGCTATAAAAACAAAAGAATGAAACTGCAACAAGTAATTGCTGACGGTCGAGACACGTCATTCATAATTGTAATATTAAGTAGCGTTCTCTGAGTGTTTTCTTTAATTTTCCCAGGGGAAAACCTTCAGGATTCTTCCTAAATCCCCGAATGTTTCCCTTTCACAGTATTGCAGCACAGCAAATTCCTTGGATAAACAAGCATAAGTGCATTTTAATGATGTAATGCTCGACCGAATATTATTTTGATATTAATTTTCTGACGCAGTGTTTTTGGTTTCGAATCATTTGACCGTCACGTTCTAGAATTCTGAAGGAAAGTTGTAGAACTTTTGATTTGCGAAAAACAACTCGAACGCGTTGACGCAGATGTAAATGCTACCAAGATACTTAGGAAACCAATCTGAAAGGTAAAAAATTCAGTGAATATATATTTGGGTTATATTTTCGCGCAAGTACTCAGTGGCCAAAGATGATGACTTGAAGTAAACTGTGGTAAATATCAGATTCTGAAAAAGTGTAAATGTTTTTTTGATTTATAGCGAAGTGACACGTTTACGACGCAATCGAGATACAACTTTTAAAAATATTCACTTGAACGAGGGTCTCCACTCTACATAAACACTCAAGATTGGATTCAAGACCGCATATACAGCTACATGTATAATTCCGAATAAACGATGCAGTGAGAAGTTTCTGGGGAATATTTAAAGAACTAACGACAATTAAAGGTGGGTATTGAAGGCATTTGAGATATCAAAAGTTTCCTTTTGGCAAGTTGATTTAACGCAAATATGGAAATTTTTTACAGACTTCAGGTCAAATATGGATCGCACTTCCGGTCCAACGTTGGCTTCACAGCTTTGTTCCATAATATCCCTTGGCAAAAAGAATATCCGCTCTCCTCCTCAAACTTTCCCAGTTCATCTCTGTTTCCTCTGATTTCGTTTTACAATACCCTCAATAGAATGAACTTCCGTTGTCAGCGCTAAAATTTTTCCCCTTATTTGTATAGCTTCAGTAATCTTCAAGTTTGTTGTGAATTTCTCTTTCCTTCAGCAGTCTGTTGCTGTCGAGATGGGGCTCATTTTCGAATTTCTGAAGCACCGCGTCAGCAAAGAAAAAAGAAGATTCACAGATGATGGATTTGACCTCGATCTAACTTGTATCCTTTCGACACAAACGTTGGAAGTAGCTAGTCAGTTTTAAATTGTTATCAACTTGCGGGTGATTACGGGCATAACAACGAGGGTTTCGGGATTCTAGCCCAGTTCCTCTATAAGACCATATTTGGGTGAGGACCTTCGGCATGCTGCAAATTTGGCGGAGAGCTTGTTAAATGTGATAGTTTGTCTTGCCGTAATGTACCGTAGAATTCTGCAGTTACTGACATAATTATCGGTGAAGGAATCATTGAAGTATGTGTCAGAGGAGGAACAGCCAAAATTAACGGACAGAAGCGGGTTTCTGAAGAAGGTTTTCGTTAACTCACTCGGTAACAGTCACCTTCTGAGATGGCATATTTCAAAGCTCTCGTGAGTAAGAAGAAACGGCGTTTTCAGGAAGATGGGTTTGATCTGGATTTAACATGTATCCTTGGTTTCACGAATCACATGGTTTATACATTTATATTTAATAGCATAATATGCATCAACAACTTGATCTCTAAACTGAGCGCACTGCAGTGATAATTTTACAAGCGAACCGTTGCAGTGTCGAGGAATTAATGTAGTCTTTCGGGGCTTTTCCTCAGTTCTTATGTTTCACTTTGAGCTAAAATATTATCTGAATTTTTTTAAGGAATGAATAATTTTCCGTGCGCTTCGCAAACGATCGATCATAGCATTCTGGTCCGTTCAATCTGTGTTAGGCAATCCTGTGTTCTGTGCAGTTGCACTAATCGAGGTCGCGTATTTAATTCGTTCAGACTTAATTAACAACCTTTGGTGTTTTATTTTCTCCTTCATTGAAGCTTTTTATAAAATCAAATAATATTTCGTTGAATTTATCTCACGTCATTTCATAATTATTTCTTTTCTGAGGCTGTTGACCAGACGGCTTATACGTCTTGAGCAAAATATTGTCTAGTTGCTAAGATATTTTACAAGCTTCCGCTTTCCTTAAAGATTGTTTGAACTGTTCAATATCCTTGAAGTCAAAACAAATATAGGAAATCTTTAAGAATTATTTTTAGAGATTAATCTATCGTTAAAAATGCATAGCAGAACAAGCTTTCAGTGCTCATATCCTGACAGTAGAATTATTAAAACATCTAGTTGTTGATACTACACATACACTCTCAAAGCCTTCCTTGCAGTACCATTAGATCTAAGAATTTGTGGTTTGTCATGATTGTCACTGAGTTTTTTCCTTTCATCTTCACCCTTTTTGATAAACAATTTCTCTAAAAACCTTGTGATTTTTCAGAAGAGGTCACCTCTTAGTCAATTTTGAACTTTCAGAGGTTACAAAAAGTAATTGTTGAATCAACCTGTTACATTATTTTCAAAGTAGCACTTCAACCGTATGGTTTTGTTCTTTAACTTACTTTTCTCCCAGATATTAAACCCAATATAGTGGCAATGGGTTTCCCATCAGATAATTTAGAAGGGGTGTATAGAAACCACATTGAAGAGGTTATAAGGTAAGACTAGTGTTACTGTGCTTGTCTAATAACTTGTCAACTCTGAGCTGCAGAGCAAAATTCATAATGGTAATAGAACCCAGTGGAGTTTGATTTGGTTTGCAATCATATAAGTGATTCACAAAATCAGATGACTGCAAAGCAGGAGTCCAATTTGTTGATCACAAGTTTGATTACAGACCAGAATCGATGACATGAAGTCCTGTTACCAGTCAATCAAAATTTTGACAAACTTTGAAGAAGAAACTAGACATTGGTGGTACATTTTCATAGAAAAAATCAACAGTTAACTCTGCAAAATGTGCATCAACAGCATCTGCACATGATGTGATTTGTCCACTTACACAGGCATGACATCTTCTCTCCCTTTAATTGGTCTTTTACATTGTCCAGTTAAGCT